GTAAGTTAAGTTTCATTTAATCAACTGGTCCTTAAACATATGCTCGAAATTTCAGAAACTTTATAAGACAATAAAAGTATGAAAAAAAAAATTCATCTGTTTAGGCCGCTATTTTAAGGAATCTCTTTCGACAATAATTATGGGAATGAAGATTTCAGAATTGATTAAGTTGTTTCACACTTACTCGTTTTGTGGGCCTTCATTTCTTTTGTTAATTGGGTTCTCTAAACACGTTACCAATCTTCGGCGTCTCGGTTTGGTTAGATGTCTGCAGATATCTTCTCACGATTGAACGATTTATACGTACCACTAATCTTCGTATAGGCAACTTACATTTGTCCTACACAAAATAATAATAATAAATTTTTTGATTTATTCCACAAATTGAAGTCCATTGTTTTTTTACCTTGACGACTACTCCTAGCTTTTTTTGGGGAATTTTAAATTCAATATCAGATTTAGATGTTACAGGTAAGTTTACTGATTTCTCTTTTCTTCTTGTAAACTCATAAGTATTGAGCTTTTTATCTTTCCCATCAAGTGAAACAAATACCTGCGGTTTGGGAAATACTGTATTCTCAATTGCGGATGTGCTCTCCGATGGTGGTAATAATTTGGTACTACTCGTAAGTGTTTTCTGAACTTTTTGCTGCTGTTTTGTGCTTTCAGCAATAGGCTTTGGTTTTTCCTCAATGACAGTCGTTTCTTTGAACACTGGTAATTTATTTAGCTTTCCAAGCGTAGGCGCTGGCAATGTAGACTTGTGCAAAATCGACCGTTGACGCTTCTCAAGTGGACTATCAGCATTTAATAAGCTTTCTTTCATTTTCTTAGACCAAGAATCCATTAGTGTTTCGGTCTCGCTTCTTTTAATTCTGAATTTAGGTGTGCTGTTTGACGAACGTTCTACGCTATTAACAGTGCTTTTATCCAATTCTGCATCCGCTGCAATGATCGCAGATGACTTTTGAGAAATTTTACGTCTGCGCCAAAACTTTTGATATCCTCGTTTGGTTTTCCTTACAATTCCCGCTTTGTTTATTTTATCCGTCGATATTTTTGCTGATAGAACTTGGACACCTTGCGAAGGAGAGCAAGATATTTCTGATACGAGGGGGTAGACCGTTACTTTTTGCTTCTCATTCTCTGTTGCAGTTGTTTTCTTTTGCGTTTGTAACCATTCTGTAAAAGTCATGACGCTTGTAGAGGGAGACTTATCAGAAAAGTTGGTTTTTTTACTAGGCGACGGTGAAGTCGACCCTTTTTCCATAATGCATTTATTCGATAAATTTGGAATAGTTTCTTCGCTTTTTGAATTATTTTGTTGCTTCAAAGCATCTTCAGAGCGTAAACTTTTCCTGTAAGAAGTCGATTGACTGTTGTTTGTCTCCGAATCGTTCACATCAGTTTCTACTTTCTCGATATGAATTTCAGTGTTCTTTTCTTCAGGATTTATTGAAAATAATTTGTTTAGAAACTTTTTCTCCTTTTCTTTAACACTTTCTTTAGGAGATGACTCGATGGATCCAATTCTTGTATCCGTTAGGGGCTTATTTAACTGTCGTTCAGCTGCTTGATCTTTATTTTCTTGTCTGAACGGTAAAGATTTAACTTCGACCTTTACTTTTTTTAGTGTATTTTGTGCAGACACTTTTGTCTCTAATTCTCCTAGTTCTTCTACCACTACTTTACGTGACCGCACTAAAAAAGTAAGAAGTTGTATTGGATTTTTTCAAAACAAAGGAAATCACTATAATGCTTACAAGATTTTCGTGTTAAATCCAGCTTGGGCTTCTTAGCGGCAATAGATAAATCTGAAGTAGGTAAACCAAGTTTATGTTAATTAATACAGAATCGTTTATAAATTATACTTTTCAAAATATTAAAGAAGTTAACTTTGCAACCTTTTAATTTCTTTTTTTTAGATTAATATCTCGTTGATGTAATTTCGGATGCTTATCAATAAAATATTTTTAATCTGTTATTGGTCAAAGTATTGTATTTCTTCCCCTTTAGCGATTGATATGTCAGCGATGACGTTTACGAATGTTAATTTGTGCTTATTAATCAATTAATCATTGAATCAAAGTTGATAAGTTCCTATCATTGACTTTTGCGAAAAATATCATTTTCTCTTGATTAAGTTTGAGGTCGATGTTAAGCTAGCTAATAGCCACGT